TTTTGTTGGCTGATATTTTTTCAGGGCTTTTTTATATCTACGAAGAAATCAAATATTTATTTACTAGTTGTAGAACCCGTCGTTGCCCGGGGATGTAACAAAAGAGATTCAAGTATCGAACATCATAAAGACTGAAAAATAAAATTGACAAAGGTTATTGTTTAAGGTTGAACGGACACTTCATGTCTTAATTAGTTTTTTGTTTTGTTTTGTTTTTGTTTTGTTTTTTTTACGAATTGGTCAAACCCAAACTGAAACAAAAACATTGTTTTCAATCGTTATGAGTCTTTCTTTTTCTTTTTTTCTTTCTTTCTTTCTTTCTTTTTTTCTAATATTACAAAAGTTGAATAGAATTTTATTATAAACAATTGTCTTGTAAATGGAATTTTTAAAGCATTCTGAATGTAAAAATAAATTGAAAAAATGCAAGACAATAAGAAACACTACCTGCCAAAAATAAAAGTGAAGTTTTTTGAAATCGGTTGAAAAATGTAAAATCCGATCCCATATATAAAAATAACACACACACACACACACACACACACACACACACACACACACACACACACACACAAAACAAACAACCTGGGTTTATAATAAGTATAACTCGATATGAGTTCTCCCTTTCATTCTCGCGATGCCTCTTAATCGTGTTATCAAATTGATTTCGTGCAAAAACAATTGTTTTTCCAAATTTTGGCGCTTTTAGAACCACCGCAAGGTAATTTTACGTAGTCCTCTGAAGTTTTTTTGAAATCAGTTGAAAAATTTTTCGAATCCGATCCAATATATAAACGTGACACACACACACACACACAAACACACACACACACACACACACACACACACACACACACACACAACCTATATTTTATAATAAGTATGATTTATTTTTGAAATGTAGCTATAATAAAGCCACAAAATTAATTTTTAGGTAAATTATAAAAATTTTATGATCCATTTAAATATCAAACAACAAAAAAATTTTATATTCTGATATTTCACAAAAAAAGTAATTGTTGATATCTTTATATAAATATATATATATATATATATATATATATATATATATTATTTATTTATATTTTAAAGAGAATATGATGAAAAAAATTTGAAAAATTAGTGTTTTGAGAAATCATGTTTCAATAATATTTTTGTATAGTATTGAAGAAATACAATCATAGTATTGAAATATGAAAGCTTTTTTCCATTCTAAAAAACATTTTAAAAATTTTATCATAAAAATATGATTGGTATATTGTTTGTTTGTATTGAGCAAATTTTTTTAAAAAAGTAAATTGTTTTTTTTTGTTTTTTTTTTAACACCAAAAATGAAAATTTCAGAACATATATATTAATTATTTACGTTTTATAAGGATTAGATGTTTTTATTTAAAATAATCTTAGTAAATGTTATTCTTTTGTAATAACCACCAAAATTTTCATGACTAAATTTTTTTACTTTATTTAAATGTTTAGATATTGTTAAAGTTTTAAAAAGACTATTAAAGATCGCCGAATAATTGGAAATGAATTAAAAAAAGTTTTACAAAGATTCCAACACAACACAAACGGGATTGTCTTACAAATCTGTTTTAAAAAACTGTTGAGCTCCATCTTCTCGAATATTGAGATATAACTCTCGTCTGTTTTGTAAACCTCCTGCGTCAGTTTTAATGTTATTATTATATTTTTTGTTAGTGAACACTTCCCAATCCCTCTTGCAGCGTTTGAAAAGTTTTCTTTGTTTTTAAATGAAGATAAAATACTGATTATTGCTATAGAACATGTCGTATATAAATTTGACTATTTACATTTGAAATTTAATATGCGTAAAAAAAAAAATTTAATTAAAAAACCCAGCCATTTTGCTACGGTCTTGATCCTCTTAACCGTAACGAATGAATTCATAGAGGATGGATTTTTTTTTAAACTTTCGGCTTTCTAAAGAATAACAGGATGTCACCAACGAAATAATTGCCGACTTCACGGACAGCACATTGTTCTTGAAAGTGACCAAATAGAACAAACATGAACTTTGCAAAGTTTATTCACAGTTTCGATCCCCATATTCGAAAGTTGAAAACCTAAAAAAATTAAACGGACAGACTTTGGCGGTTATATTTAACCAGAATTCTTTGGATGAATGCCTAGTGTTTAAATATACTTTATTTAAATTTAAATTCGGTTACTGTTAAATTAATTATATGTATAGGTACCTATGTTTTAAACTGCGTTTTAACAAAAGAAAACTCTTTCTTGAATCTTTTATTATAGTTTTAATTTCAAGCTAATAGATTCAATTTAATATTTCCAATAAGCAAAATACTTTTTTCAAATTAAATTTAAATTTGTTCTTGCATGCGCCTTCACGCGAGCGCCGTTTCATTTGTTTGACACGTTTATTAACAGTAATTCGCTTCCCAAATCGAACACGAAGGCCTCGACCGTGGTGATGGAAAGCTGACGGATGGTATTACCATTTTCCCTTTATAAAATG